TTCAACGCAAGGTGATTGTCTCTTTGTAAACTTCTCAATTCAGTCTTCATGTTGCCAAAATCCTGAAAGAAACTGTGGAGGTCTCGGCTGATGCCCGTGGTGGTGGAGAATATCTGTCTTAGCAACTGATTGTCCACGTCAGCTTGTAGTGCTGGGAGCCCGTGGGTATTCCTGATCTGCAGGGATTGAGCCTTGTTCTGCCTGCTATCTACGGCGTCATTTTCTTGCTCTTCACTGTGTTTGACCTGAGCCCTTGTTTGAGCATCAAATGTAGTTCGTTTGATCATGGGGCTGGATTTTTCAGGTAACTCCTCAAGTAGGAATGCAACACTCGCAACCCTACATATGCCACTAATGAGGCTCGGGAATGTCAGAGTGGAGCAGCGATCTCTCCAAGTTCCCAATGAGTGTAGTTGATTGTATATATGAGTAGCGAGATCTATCTTGTTGCCTCGAGCCAAGTGGTAGATGAACCCTACTGTCTGATCTGGAAAAGTAGTCCTGTGTGATATGGGCTCGATATTGTGGCACATAAAGAGCCATAGAATGGCTATGGAAGGGGTAAGCTCAATCTGATGCCACTCGGTAGTTTCGAAGGGCCGTGCATTCTCCTGCCTCATTAAAATCTCAGCCACTTCATTCCAGTGAAAGTCAATTGGGAGAGGGACCACATTCTCCACGGTAAGCTGGTAGTAATCATGAATGACCTCGGGAGAGAACATAATCCATTTCCCCCGCACCTAAGTCTAATGGAAATGCTCGGAGCCTGGCGTGTCAATGTCACTGTTGAAGTTGGCGAAGAACTCTCGGCATAGAGTCTCATAGATTGGATGTGGTCGCTCCACCAACTTTTGCCACCCACAAATCTGAACTAAGTTGACCAACTCAAAACCCGGGAAGTCATCAAGCTTAACGGGTCTTTCAGCATGTAAAGTCCAATGGCGTGTGATATTCTCATATCGTGCCGCGGTATTTGCAGTTAAGAATCGTCGAACCTCCCCCGCAAGCTCTCGAGTACGGGCTGTCCCGGTTGAGGAGCTTGCTTTTTCTTTCCCGTGCAAAGCTCTTTTAGGAGGCATCCTGCAAAGTTTGTAAAATTACACTCGTTAAGTTCGATGTGAAAAGAATAGGAATGAAGTGAGAAAATAAAATATGTATTGCACAAATCCCCCAAACTTTCGTAGATGCATGTGTAACACCATGGTGTGCACTAGTCAAGATATGATGTTCAATTTAAGTCAAGTATTCTGCCAATATGAAAAATGGAGAAAACTCGGCGTAAACATGCAATTTTTCAGAAATTGGATCCATGACCAAGTGCGCACTTTCGGCCCTTGACATCGTCGAGAATCATCGAAATTTTCCTGGACAATCTCCAGGCATATCAAAGTATTCATTGAAGTGTAGCACATACTCGAATTTCAACCCAATTGGATGTCGTTTGGTGTGTCAAATGAAGATGCAAAGTAGGGGACGTAGGGTGTCGTGACGTGTGATGACCTAATCATGTGCCTATGTGTTGCAATGTGAAAGTGGGTGTTTTCTAAGTTAATTCATGATGGAATTCGTTAAAACATATTTGGTGCCATGTTTGTGAATCATTATATATGTAAAGAGCACCTAATTGCACACAAATGGTTATTGTGGCATTTCATCAAACACGTGGTGCGCATTATGTGAAAGTAGTCCTAAGTTAGTGAAATTAATGTCCAATTCATCCCAAAAGTCACACAACACAATCACAACAAATCCATCCCTATATGAACTAGCCCATTTTCCCTCAATTCATGAAAAAACGAATTCCAAGACGAATTACCCAAAAAGAGAAAGCCGAGAGAAATGTGAGAAGTAATACCTTACCTTGAAGTGGATGGCTTGATGTACGGGGTGAATATTGTGGAGTGCAAACGTGATTTGATGGGAAGAATTGGTGGGTGAAATTATCCTAAGAATGCGTGAGAGATTGAGGGAAGAAATGAGAGAAGAAAAAAAATGAAGAAGGAAGGAACAGGGTGTGATTAAAAAAACCACACCCGATTCTGCCATGCGACCGCATGGCTTTGTTGCCTACGGCTGCATGGTTCAAGTGGCATTAGCCACTTGAAACTTGGGTGCTATGTGTGCGGTCGCACCATGCGACCGCGTTATCTAAAAATATTTTTTCTCCTGATCTTCTGGTGCGACAGGTATCTGACTATAGCCCGAGTATCCATCAAGGAAGCAGTAGTGTGAATGTCCCACCAATCTCTCTAACATCTGATCAATGAATGGGAGGGGAAAATGATCCTTTCGTGTAGCTGCATTAAGTTTGCGATAGTCGATACAAACTCTCCATCCCGTAACTGTTCTGGTGGAAATTAATTCATTCTTCTCATTTTTCACCACTGTGATTCCCCCTTTTTTTGGTACCACTTGAACTGGACTGATCCATGCACTATCTGAAATTGGGTAAATAATTTCTGCACCCAGTAATTTCAGTATCTCTACCCTGACCACTTCCTTCATGTTCAGATTTAATCTTCTCTGACCCTCTATACTTGGCCTTCAGTTTTCCTCCATTAGAATTTTATGCATACACAGAGAAGGGCTGATTCCTTTAACGTCAGCTATTGTCCACCCAATCGCCGTCTTGTTCTCTCTGAGTACCCTGATCAGTTTTTCTTCCTCCACTTCACTGACTGTGTTAGAAATGATTACTGGAAGTGTATCTGACTCCCCCCAAATATTCATATCTGAGATGTGGCGGTTGCTTGAGTTCTAAAACTGGCGGCTGCTGGATAGAAGGCAATGGCTTCGTATTTCCTGTCCCCAGTTCCTCGAAGTGCCGTTTTCGGGTGTATGGCGGGTTGGTCTCCAAAAATCGTGCACATTTTTCAACTTCAAGAAAACTTGAGTGAACTGATTGGGATTGTGCAATGCATGTCTCATATGCATCAGATGGGCCATGAAGTAGGAATGTTTCCTGTACTGCCTTGTCAATAATGTCAACTTGGTAATAGCAGTCTAATTCTGCTGGCAGTTTCATTGCTTTGAATACATTGAACGATATATGCTCCTCTCCCAATCTTAAAATCAACTGCCCCCTTTGAACGTCAATTAACGCTCTTCCTGTGGCCAGGAATGGTCCACCAAGTATCAATGGGACATCCTTGTCTTCTTCCATGTCCAAGATAAGAAAATCTGCTGGGAATATGAACTTTTCGACCTTGCTGAGCACGTCTTCAATTATCCCTCTGGGGTGTGTCAGTGATCTGTCTGCCAGCTGAAGTGTCACAATGGTTGCTTTAGCTTCTCCCAAGCCGAGTTTCCTAAAAACAAATAGAGGCATTAAATTAATACTTGCACCGAGGTCACATAATGCTTTATCGAAATATACTTCACCGATTGTGCAAGGAACGGTAAAACTCCCTGGATCTTTCAGTTTTGGTGTGAGCTTATTCTGGATTCTGGCACTACATTCCTCCGTAAGCATAACTGTCTCATGGTCCTCCAGCTTGCGTTTATTTGATATAATATCCTTGAGAAACTTCACATAGCTAGGCATCTGAAACAGTGCATCGGCTAGTGGGATGTTGATATGGAGCTTTTTGAAGACTTCTAGGAATTTTTTGTATTGTTGCTCCACTTTTTGCTTCTTCAAGCGCTGTGGAAAGGGAATCAGAGGTTCGTATGGGTTGACTGTGACCTTGGCCTTATCTTGTGATTTTTCTGAATTTTCGTTTGGAGTTGATTCCTTCACAGCAGTCTCATTTTCAGCAGAGGATGATGTCTCTACAGTCACACCTGGTCTCTTGACATGGATTTCCGGTAATTGCACTCCACTTCGAGTTGTAATAGCTTTAGCTTGCTCTTTGGGATTGATTTCTATATTAATTGGCAAGTTACATGGCGTTTTGCCAGTCAATGCGATGGCTAGCTGCCCCATCTGAGTTTCCATATTTTTGATGGCTGCATTTTGATTTTGAAGTGTAGCTTCGGCATTCTCCATGAATATTCCTATCATATCTTCTAATTGAGGCCTCTTCTCCTGTTGTTGAAATTGCCCCTGTGGCTTATTCTGATTCTGGTTGCTCCA